GTTAGGTGCCATTGAGTCGGTACTAACCCATAGCAACCTTATGCACAGCAGAACGAAACACTACCCAATCCTGGGCCAACCTCACTACTGTTGCCATGCTTGAGTCCATTGATGCTGCCACTTGGCCAATCCATCTTGTTGGGGGTCTTCCTCTTTTTTTCTGACCTTCACCTTACCAAACATGACATTCTTCTCCAGTGACTAGTCCTTCCTGACAATATGTCCAAAGTATGAGAGATGAAGTTTGCCATCTTGGCCTCCAAGGAGCACTCTGGCTGCACTTCTTCCAAAACGGATCTATTGGTTCTTTTGGCAGCCCATGGCACTTTCAATATTCTTCTCCATTAGCATATCATAAAATCTTTATTATTTTTCCTCTAAATTCTTAGAAATGTACACCCATGCACTAGTTATAGCACCCTTTATAAACATCTAAAATGCATCTTCATTTATAAATATTTTACATTTGGTCCATAAATCCCCCCAAACTCAAGTCCACTGCTATCAAGTCAATTTTGATTGATAGCGATCCTATATAAAGTTTCTGAGACTGTAAATCTTTACTGGAACATACAGCCTTATTACTCTCCCAAGGAGCTGCTGATAGATTTGAACTGTTGAGTTTGCAGTTAATAGTCCAGTGTTCCGCACAACTGATAATTTTGCTAAATAATGCTGTAATTTTAAAAAGCGACTATATAATTTGAATATGTATATATTATGCATGATTTTATCTTTATTTTTTTAAAGCTTTTATTGTGAATTGAGTGGAGGTTTACAGGGCAGAGCATCAACAAATCATTGCAATGATTACAATCCCTTCCATGCACCTTGAGCTAACAGTATTTACCTTTTTAAAAATTTTTGATGTACACGTACCACATTGAAAATATATATTTGTTTAAATGTCTAAAGGGCACATTTGGCAAGCCAGACTCCTGCCTGTGGGCACATTGCCTTTCTCAGTTCATGGACCTATACTTTTCTGCTACTATGTCTTTCTATACCATTGTCTCAGCCACCATCTCTGTTGTCATTGCTTTTCTGGTCAGGATCCCTCGCTCCTCTCATGATCTCCCTCTTGATAGTCCTAGGGATCTCTGTTCCTGAAATGACAGATTAACTGCTCCTCACATTTAGCTATATCTCTTCTACATTTATAGTTGTGACAATCGCCATTAGTCCTGACAACAATTACTCACAGTTCAATCATAAAACCCTGTCTCCATCATCACCAGGCTTACCTGAACAAGAGGAAAACTATTCAGTGGTGATTCTATCTTACCCATCCATTCTGACATTAAGATTACATATGTTTTTGTATACAGATAAACTTGTGTGTTCTGAGAATAAATCCTTATTGCAAAAATTTTTTGGAAAGCATATATGATAATAAGATATCTTATTCCCTCACAGGCCAAATATTTAATAAGTTACACACATTCATAGTTCTCATAGTAATAGTACAGTACTTAATACTATTCTATGGAGGGTAAGTTAGGGTTGAAATCAATTAAGGTCTATCATTTTATATTGTGTTACCTTCTTCTTTTCTTCCTCTTCTTCCCCCTTTTCATTCTGCTTTGCAGTTGCCCCTTTCATAACAAATTTCATGTCTGTCCTGTCTGCTTTCTTCCTGCATCTCATTCTCCAAATATCTGGGTTATAGAAGCAATGGGCTCCAGGGGGCACTGACCTCCTTATGGATAGTTAAGGTTTTGTGGCTGAGTCACGATTCTCAGTAGTTTTGCAGTTAAGATGGTGTTATTCTCCATGATATGATCTAATACAATGCAATCACTCCTTGACATGATCTGGTGTGATCAGCCCTGATCTGATGCAATTATCCTATGTGTTGTAAATTCTCACTTCTATGATATTAGTAAGGTCAGAAACAACCTACAGGCTTAGGTAGTACCACGGTGAGTCAATCACTTTTGAGACATACAAGGGGAGAGAAATGAGCAGCTGAAGAGGAACCTGAGGCCACCAAGAAGCAGAGCAGTGAGTGCAGTATGTCTTTTGGATCTAGGGTCCCTGAACTGTGAAGCTCCTAAATCCAGGGAAAGACTGATGACAAGACGCATGGAGCTCTCTAAGGAATGCTGGGCCTATAGACACTGAAAGGACACAAGAACCTTTCCCCAGAGTCCGCACTCTGACTTTGAACTTCTAATATCCCAAATGGTGAAAGGATAAATTTCTGTTTGTTAAAGCCATCCCCTTGTGGGATTTGTTATAGCAGCAAGAGATGAGTGAGTGCTGCTATAATGAATACCTAATATATCCAGGACGGTCTCATGACTTTCCATTCACAAGAAGCCCCAAAGACTAAAAAATGAGGGCATTTGGAGATTCTCGTTAGGGTGTGTAGGGGAGAGAGGTTAAGTATTGGTTTAGTCTTTAAGGATGAAACCAGTAGATTTCTATTTTAATTGTATGCATGTGTTTGTTACTGCTAAAGGCCATATGAAGGGATCCCAGTGACTTACATAATACTACGTACAGACTTTATAATGCACATAAACAAGAGGAAACATTCTGCTAGAAATTTGCAGCATAGTTCTAAATGCCAATAGTCACAAGTGGAGAGGAAACTAAAAGGCCTTGTTTATCACTCCAGGTGATGGACTTGGGATTCATTTAGGAATCCATCTACAAGTGCCTTTCTTCAGCACAGCTTGGAGGCCCAGTGGGCAACCTGGTTCTCCTTGCCTTGCCTTGTCCTGCTGACTGAGTAATTTCATCCCACAGGATGAAATTTAAGTCCTTTTAAATTTTACTCTGCCTTCAAGTCCTTTTCTTCTGTTCTTCTTGTCCTCACATCCATTCTGTGAAAATAATGTCTTGGAGCTGCCTTTCCCTTGTTTTTCTGCATTGTGCAGAGATGCAGTGGATGGATAAAGGAAGGGCCACTGAACCTCTTGAACTGGCCTGAACATTCCAGAACCTTGAGTCAGAGTCAAGGGAGACTTGCCCTGAACAAGGTTTTTTTTTTAACTTCACTACACTGCAGAAAATGCATCCTTCCTACACTTTGATTCAACTGGAAAAGAATGAATCTGTTGTGTTGTTGAAACGCACCCTGATCGCTACAGGTGCTCCCTTGCCTGCAACACCCTTGAGGCAGAAAACCTCACATCGACACAAATGGTGAATCAGGAGCAATACCTTCCCAGAGAATTTCACAGAAGTTCTTTGCTCAGGTAACTTTGGGTGGACACAGCAGGTTATCTAAGGACTACATACGTGCTTTATTTAACTTAACAAAGAGGAAAGTAAGACTTCTTCATGGGGTATAAAACTCCAACACACTTAAAGAAAGGTGACAAAATGCTTATGAAATGAAATGAAACACACAAAAAAAAGGGAGGAATGAAAAATTATCTGTATATTAACTTTGCTGTATGCATATTTATGCCAAGTCCTGTTGTGGCTCTGCGGGTTAATGCGCTGGACTGCAAAGTTGGTTTGAGCCACAAGGTTGGTGGTTCAAGCTCACCAGCTGTTCCTCTGAAATCCTATATGGGTCGGAACCGACTCGACTGCACTTAACAACAACAACATACATATTTTAGGAGTAAACCATAGAAGAATATACACCAAAATGTTAGCAGTTGCTGTCTCTGAGCAGTATGCCTATCGATGATTTTAACTTTTTAAATATTTTTCTACGATAAGCATATATTACTATTATGTTTTTCCTATTCCTTTAATTATGTTTTATTAATATGTTTAAATACAGGGTCCTGTTATGGTGCCGTAGGATAAGCACTAGACTGTTGACTTCAAGGTCAGCAATTAAAACTCACTAGTAACTCCTTAGAAGCTCTATAATACTAGGTCACTATGAGTTGGAACCGACTCGAGCACACTTAAGGACAACAATATATATTAAAATATCAATTTTATGTGCTGAATATTTTTAAAAGATATGTTGTTATTGTTGTTAAGTGCCGTTGAGTTGGTTCTGACTCATAGTGACTCTCTATAGGGTTTCTGAGGAACAGCTGGTGAGTTTGAACCCCCAACCTTGCAGCTCAAAGTGACCTTGCAGTCCAGCACATTAACCTGCAGTGCCACACCAGGACTCCTTAAAAGCTTTGAAGATGATCCTTTTGATACTTTTACAACAAATGGGCAATATCAAAATCAGACCTGGCTTCTTGGTGATAAAAAGTCTGAAGACGCCAAGCCACTTTTAAAGAAAAAGGCATTGATTAGTGCAAACGTTTCACCCTATTGTCTTTAAAAGATATGATGTCAGAATAAAATAGGAAAACTAGTCTAGACTTTAAAAAATTGTCATCAGGTTGCACTATTAATAAAAGAAAAGAGAGACTGAATCCTAAAACAAAGTATATATATATATGAAAATAGAAATATTAGAAAGGAGGACAAAAGGACAGCTGTGTGGTGACCCTAGATCTTTTTCCCTGTCTGCACAGGTACCAGGGGCACTACCTTACCCTGGGGAATAAGAAATGGTGTTTCTGCTGTGCCTAACTCTGTCCGCCCCACCTCCTAGACCAATGCTACAGAGACATACTCGCCATGAATCATAAACAAAGGCAGCAGCCTGCTGCACAACCCAGCAGTCTGGCTGCACCCTTGCCCCACAAGGCTCCTCTAGCCCCCTGTCACCAAGGAGTCTTAAGGAACCTTGACCAGGTCATCTAACTGGTGTGTCCAGAGCTCCCCATCTCCATCCTCCATCCCATGGCATCAACTCCCCCCTCTGTGGTTCCCTCCTCTCCCCTCCCACCCTGAAACTTGATCCCAGTGAAGGACTGATTGCAGGGAAACTTGGCTGCTTCCTTATCCTGGGGGCTTGTGCAGTGACAGGCTGTATCCTCGGAAGGCGGAAGGCGCGGTGGAGCAGCCAGGAGAGGCACGCTGACCGTTGGCTGGGGCATCAGGTTGGCAGTGTGTGGGCAGGCTAGCCCTGGGCGGTGCTCTCCCTGCAGGACCACTCCAGGGGTCAGTCACACGGTGGGAAGCTCGCCATGCTGCTGCCCTTCCGGCAGATGCTGCTTGTCCTGCTACTGCTCACACTCTTGGCACTGGGACACGGTAAGGGGAAAATATGCAGGGCTTGACTGGCCATCCACAGAGGTGGGGTGGTGTGAGGTGCATGTTTCCTTGGGGAGAAAAGGGAAGAAGGATTTGGGAGAGGGGTGCAGCTGCAAGGAGGTTGGGTATCTTAACAAACATGAAGACACGCATGGTCAAGGTAGAAAGCATTTCAAGGTATCATGGTCAAGCTAGGAAGTTGGAAAAGTTGATCCTAGGTGAGAGCAGGACTTGTTCAACCTCTTAGCATATGTGAAAGGTGCTAGACAGGTTACTATGAGAAGGGTTCCTCTCCTCTTTACTCTGTCCCTAAACTCATCAAATGGCAGCTTTGAGGGACCATTAAGCCCATTTGGTCCCTTCCTCTGGACAGCATGGTCCTGAGAGGAGAAGTAACTCACTCAAGGTCACACAGTTCAGCGGTCACAATCTATCAATTTTCCCTCAACTCTACTGGCTCTGTTGCAAGGATTCTCTGGCTTTGTTTCTGAAAGTTCCCTTCGGAGCTAACCTGGCATAACACCCAACTTCTCTCTTTATTCCCCATCCCATGTGTTCCCATCTCTTCTGAATATGGGATGCTTTAGTCACACAGGGATCTTTTTATTGTAAATCATATTTGTGCCATCTTGGAAGATTACCACCCCCCCACCCCCACCCCCACACACAGAACTGGGCTGGAGCTGGGGCTGGCAGAGATTCAGGGCTTGTGGGCAGATGATAACTTTCCTTATGAGCTGTTCTTTCGGGGCAGCTCAGTGGGTCAAAAGAGCACAGGCTGCGATTGATGACCATGACTTGGGGCTTCCTGGGCTGCAGAGAAATTCCAGACTTCCTAGCAATGGTCCTTAGCTCAGAGGACCTTCTGCGCTCGATCTGGTTCTCTCTGAGCTGGTCAGATTGCCAGCCAGTAATATCTGTGAAGAGACACAGAAATCAGGTTTGAATTCAGTTCCTCCACTTACCTGAATGAATGAAATGGGCCTGGTACTCACCTCTGTGAGCCTTGGGGTTCCTTATTCGTAAAATGGACCAGCAAAATAACCACTAGGGTCATGGAGGTCTTAAATTTAAAATGAATAATATAAGGGAACTTACATTTTCCAAATTGACATTTAATAGTCTCTTTTCTTCCTTCTCTCTTTTCTGTTCTTCTGACGGATGCTGAAATCTTAGCAGGAACAGATGGGTTAGAGACAGGCAGGAGGAATCAGTAGGACCAATTTGCTGGGTAGGTTGTATACATGACAAATGAGAAAAAAAGGAGTTTTATTTAGAGAAAGGTAGGCTGTTCATCGCCTTTTAGTCTATACCCTGATCCTCTAGGATTGGACCTTCATGTTTCATGACACTCTTCAGGAAGTGATTCCATTCATTTTCAGAGGGAAAATGGGGATACACCTTGGTCACTACAGCGTGAGAATAGGACATAGGATGTGGATCTTTTTGTTTGTCCCTGTAGGCCTCTTGCCCTGAAAACAAGAAAACGTGGCCTCTCCTCATTCCCAGCCCATCCCTAAAACTTTTTCCCACCTACCAAGTTTGCCAAGATACTGACCCTCATTCTCACTCCACATCCCAAACTCTGGCATGATAGCGTCCCTGGAGCTGCCTTCCCTAGTTGTTTGTGTGTGAGGGGAAGAAGAGGGGCCTCCTTTGGTGTGAACTTTGCAGGAAGGGGAAGGGATACCAGTTTTCTCTGACTGCCCACACTTCCTTCTTTCTTGATAAATTGCAGACTGGGAGCAAGGAGAGATGAGGAAATCTGACCTTGGTTGAAGCAAAACCTTGAGCCGACGTTTTCTTGTACCATCTCACCTTCTCCTACCACATAGCCCTGGTCAGATTCCCTTTAGCTTCCTAGAGAACCCTTGTCCAGGGGTCCAAAGACCCACCTCCTCCAGACAGGCCCCCTACTCTCAGCCTTTCTCAACCCTTACCCACTGCTGTTGACTTTATACTGACTCAGAGACCCTAGAGAACACAGTAAGGCTTCTGAGACTGTAAATTTTTACAGGAGCAGACAGCCTTCATATTTCTTCTGCAGAGAGTAGCTACAGCCAACTTTTTGGTTAGCAGACTGATGCTTAACCCACCATGCCACCAGGGCTCCTTTTCAGGCCTTAGTTACTCCCAAACTTACCTGTTTGTGATACCTTCCCTTCCAGCCCAGCTCCCTGGTCTTATGCACATGAGCATAGACAGAGGTGGCATTTGCATTTTGGCTCAGGAATCCTTGCAGATGAAACGGTCTGGCAATGGAGACTTCTGTCTGTGGATGTGTGTGTGTGTGTGTGTGTGTGTGCGTGTGTGTGTGTGTGAGACAGGTCTAGGAATTCTGTGAGGTAGAGATGGTGGGGACACAGTTGTTTCAATAGCTTTTAAACCAAAGCAAAATAATAGGCCCACTCTGTGCTGTTCTCCCTCACAGACAGACAGAGGGATTGCTCCAAGGCTCACAACACCACCAAGCCTGCCCTGCTGAGGCTCTCTGATTGCCTGCTGACCAACTACACGAAGGGCGTGCGGCCAGTGCTGGACTGGAGGAAGCCAACCACCGTGTTCATTGACGTCATCGTCTACGCCATCCTCAGCGTGGTGAGCGCTCAGCCCCAGCCTGCCCCACTCTAAGGTGTGCCTTTCAAGGGGTGGAGAGAAGACCATGCAGGGTCACTATGAGTCGGAACTGACTCCATGGCACACCACCACAACCACCACCATGTCTACATTAGAAATTAAGGAAGAAATCATTATATTTCTTTTTAAGTATGTAATGTGCTGGACTGCAAAGTCTGTTTGAACCTCAAGGGCAGGGGTTCAGGCTCACCAACTGTTCCTTGGGAACTATACAGGGTCACTTCAAGTCGGAACCAACTCAGTGGCTCCAAATAACAACAACAAGCTCTTAAATGGAGCCCTGGTGGCATAGTGGGTTATGTGTTGGGATGCTAACTGCAAGGTCAGCTGTTCAAATCCACCAGCTGTTCCGTGGAGAAAGATGAGGCTTTCTGCTCCCGTTAAGATTTACAGCCTCAGAAACCCTATCCAGAGTCACTATGAGTGGGAACCAACTTGAAGACCCACTACACCACACCACCATTCCCTAGTAAAAGTTCAATTTTACTGGCTGGCCAGGGAGTCCAGCTTATCCACTTCTCCAGCCTCTTTTCTTCACTCTCACTTCCCAAGGGAACAGGGGCACACGGAAGCAGCCCCTCTGTAGGAGTGGGTCTCTGTGAGTTGGTCTTCCTTTCCTTTCACAGGATGAGAAGAATCAAGTGTTGACCACCTACATCTGGTACCGACAGGTAAGCAGACCGGCCCTCAACACCCTGCTATTCCCTGGAATGGGGCTCATTTTTCCAGGAATGACTCCCCCACGAATCTCAGGGGACTTGGTTAGGAAAATGCCAAATCCAGGACTCTCGAATCCTCTGATTTCAGCACTGGGAGAGGAGAAATCCTCAGAGCCCCCTTCTGGTTCCTGAATTTCTTCACAGCACCCCCCAAAAGTGCTCATCCAACCTCTGTTGAACACTTCCAGTGACTGGGAACTCACAAGGCGGCCACTTCACTTTCAAGCAGCTCTAATTGCTAGAAAGTTCTTCCTTCTATTAAGAAAAATTGGATGACAACCAAATTGGGTGATTGCAACAGGATAATTCCATCCACTTAGTCCTCACATCCTTGGCCATTTCCCCATTTGTTCATCTTTTTCTGGGCCAGGGTCGAGCAGTGGTTTGTGAATGTCTCTGAGGCTTGGAGTCCCAGGGGTGGGCAATGGGGGTGGTGGGTAAACAGTGGAGGCAGTTGTCAAGTGTCTGAGTCCTGCTTTGGCAATCGCAGGAGCTGTGGGGAAGAAGTTAGAGCAGAAGAGGAAACTAAGTAGCCAAGAGAAGGCAGGAGGATGAGAAGAACTCTCAGAGCTACTGTGGCGACACCCTGGTGTATGTAGGTCTTTGTGAAATTCCTCCCTGTTCAAGGGCACCTTCACCACCAGCTCGTGGGACCTGGATGTGGATCATTGAGATGCTGGTCCTTTTCTGTCTCATAGAGGGACCCCTTAACATAAAGTGTATCCACCTCAGCAGAAAGGACTCAAACAAGAACAGGCACCCTGGGACTCCCTTTCTCTGAGATGACAACCCTAGGCCCCATCTCTGGACTCCTAGCATCTGCCGTTTACAGTTAGCAGTGGGGGGATGTCCAGGGAATGTGTTAGGGATTGGAATCAGAGACATGGGTTAGCCATAGGCCTTGCCCACAAAGAGCACTCAGACTAGTGTAGACAACAGACATGTGATCAGACGATTCAAATGCAGTAAGACAGCCTGTCCAATGGGGCAAAACACAGGAGACTAACCATGGAGCATAGAGGAGGCACAGGTAACCCAGCCTGGAGATAGATGTCTTGGACAAATAGATGCCTTAGCTAAGTCTATAAGGATGAGTAAAATTGGTGAAAAAGACAGGGATTGCAGTATGGGGGAGGGAGGACTGTAGACCAAGATGTGGAGGTTTCCATAGCATTTCATTCCATACAACTGAAGTGAAGAATTCAGAAAGCTATGACACCTCCCCTCTCCTCCCCCCCGCCAAAAAGGCTAAAGAGGTAGGTTGTTGTTAATTGGCATCGAGTCAGTTCTGATACCTTGTGTCCCTGTAAAGAGTTGTTTTTTTTTTTAGCTGTCATTGACAGTTAATTTTATCTTTTTTTTTTTTTTAAATGTTTTATTGTGAATTATATGATAGTTTACATGGGAGAACTTTAGTTTTACATTCATTCCATCGTATATCATCTCATTGCCATGGTTCCAATCCCCTCCATGCATCATCAGCCACCCAAAGGGTATATCCCAGAAACCTGCCCCCTACACTTCCCCCTCCTCCTCCCCAGTTTTTGGCCCACAGTCCCTTTCCCTCTCTGGGTCCAAAGTCCCCAGTCGCTTCATCACTCCACATCATCATCTCTGTCTCTATCTCAGGCATCTCTGTTTCTCTGGGTAGGGTCCCGCTCTCAGCTCTTCTCCGTTGATGGTCCCAGAGGTCTCTGCTCCTATCCTGGAGAATTAATCACTCCCTTCCTTGTTACAAAACTTCTACCTTTGCATTTCCAACCCTGATATCACTAGTTACCCATCTGTATCTCCTTTTATCAGCTCCACCCAGACAGATTGAATATGTAAAGAGTTTTCAAGGCTGTAAATCTTTGCAGCAACAGAAAACCTCATCTTCCTCCCAAAGACAGGCTGGTGTACTTGAACCCCTGACCTTGTGGTTCGCAGGCCTGTGTTTATGCATCACGTTCCCCAGAGAAGTAGGTAGAAAGCAGATTGTGTAGGTCTTTGTGGCCATGGAGTCTAACTTTATCCAAATGACAGTGTTTGTGAGCCATAGAGTTTTAATTAGCTAATTTTCAGAAGTAGATGATGAGGGTCTTTCTTCTTAGTCCATCTTAGTCTGGAAGCTCTGCTGAACCCCATCCACAATGAGTGACCCTGCTAATATTTGGAATACTGGTGACATAGTTTCCTTCATCACAGCAACACACAACCCAGCTTCATATGACAAGCTGACAGACAGGCGTATGTGATAGAGAGCCTGTGAGAACAAGGGAAGCCCTCAGCTATCTGGATCTGCACCATCACCCTCAACAATGGACTCGAACATGAGGAAGGCACAGGACCAGGCTGCATTTTGTTCTGTTATACAAAATGTCACCATGAGTTGGAGTTGACTTCATGGGCAAAGTGGCTAAACTGCTAACTGAAACCTCAGCACAGTTCATACCCATTAGCTGTTCTGTAGGAGAAAGACATGGCAATCTGCTTCCGTAAAAACTGCAGCCTTGGAAACCCATGAGAACGTCTACTCTGTCCTTTAGGGTTGCTATGAGTCAGAATCAACTTTATGGCAATGGGATTTCCCAACAACAAGGGCAACAGGGTACCACTGAAGAATATTGAGCAAGGGGGAACATGATCAAATTTACAACTTGGACTGGTCATTCTTTCAGAAGAGTGGAGAATGCATTGAACAAAACTTAGCAGTAACCATCTTTAACCCTGTGAAGACCAAAAAGCCCATTACCCTTGAGTTGGTTCCAACTCATGGTGATTCCATGTGCTGCAGAGTAGAACTGAGCTCCATAGGGTTTTCTGGGCTTTCAGGTTCATGGAAGCAGATCTCTGTATTTTTTTCTGTAATGCCAACAGGCTGGGAGGTAGATGTTATTATCCCTGCTTACATATGTGCACATCGTAAAGTTCTTTCTCTGAAGTCAATCAGTTGGTGGATAAGGGAGTCATAGCATGGAGAATAATGGAATGCATTTCTTCCCTGGTAGAGGCTATATCTGTCCAACCTACACCCTGTCTACATTTCATGGGGTCTGTAGTGCCAAATGGGAACTCTAAATTATTGCAGAGTGACTTGAGTGCCACCTAGGTTTTCCCAGGATGCTGCCTGTTGACCAGACACGGAGAGGTGAAGGCAACCTGAGTAAAAGTCACTTCTCACCTGGGATTTTGGGGTTGCCTGTAACAGTGCCTTCTCCTCCCCTAGTGCTGGACTGATGAGTTTCTTCAGTGGAGCCCTGAGGACTTTGACAACATTACCAAGTTGTCCATCCCCACTGACAGCATCTGGGTCCCGGACATTCTCATCAATGAGTTGTGAGTATTATCATCCTGTGCTGGCAGCTGGGTGGACTGAAGGCTGGAAAAGGCAAGGGGGCTGGGGTAGGAGGCAGGAGATCAGATCACTGCTGTTACATTTGATATGGTCCACCTAGATTAGCAGAACTGAAGGCAAAGTTGGCCCAAATCCCCTTTGTCATTTTCTCCCTCTGTGTTTTCTTCTTTAAACTCCCATGTACTCTGCCTGATGGGGAACCTCTGAGCTATTGGTCTAAGGGCTTCCTGACACAAGGAAAAGCCAACCTTTGAGTAAACCACATGGAGCTATAATAAACTAATGAGGACAATGATATTATTGAAAGAAATAGGGTATTTTTTTGTGATCACCATTCCTGGTCATAGGGAAGAACTGGATGACAGTCTTAAACCTCCCAAGCTATACATATGTGCCTGGCTGACCACAGATTGCATTCCCCAACAGCCAAATGATCTCATTTGGTCCTAACCAGTATATTTTCTCCTTCAGATACCTTTAGGTGTTAACGGTTGGGCTTCTGAATTCAAGGGCAGGGAAGATGGCTGGGAGAGGCAGATGGAAACGAGAAAGTAGACAGGGTCACTGCATTGTCCAACTCCAGGGGGACAGCTGACCCTGGGTCAGTCTCACACTTTCCAGGGGAGGCAACTGACCCTGTGTTCCATGCTCTGGAGGGGTCCTGGGAAATCCCGCTTTCTGTCTGGATCTCTAGTTTAAAGTGTGACTTTGAGCCAGATTCCACAGGAGATGGCAGTCTCATGACCCCTGGCCGAGCCTGCTCCATTCCATGGTTATGTGAAGAAGTGTAGGACCCAGGACCTTCTTGGCCATCCCCAATTCTTATTAATGATTTCTCTAGTTCCTTTTTGCCTCCAGAGATGATTATTTTTGTTTTACAAGACTTCTATGGGCGGGAAACAAAGAGAAACCAGAATAAGGATGGAACAAGATTGTGCTCTCTCACAAAGCCTGCCCCTGGCCCCAGGCTGGTGATTCCAGGGGATGGTGGCCCGGTCCAAGTGGGCAACAGTGTGGGAACAGCTAGACATATATATGTTTTACGCAACTTGATGCCTATGAATTCCTTCCCCGCCTTTTGTAGCTGGGATGTGGTTGTAAAAGTGCCCGTAGAGTTTGTTCCGACTCATAGCGACCCTATGTAGGGTTTGCGAGGAGCAGCTGGTACGGTGAGTTTGAACCATTGGCCTTGAGGCTCAAACTGACCTTGAGGTTGAGTGCTTATTCTACGGTGCCACACCAGGACCAGTAGTTGAGATTCCAGGGAAATAAAGAAGGGGAAACACCTTTTGCTACTTGGAAAGTAGCCCAGACAATGTCAAGTACGGAAGTCAAACATGGATGGGAAGGTTGGAAACTCTGGGGCCAGTCAGAGTTGGTCAGGTTGTCCTGCTGCCTACACTTTCTCTGTATTTCTTTCCCTGCTGGCCTGCTCAGAGACCTTCAGATTTCCAGGGTTAGAATTAGGGGCTGTGTCTGAGCCCACAAACTGACCTCTCTTCCCTGGCCAGTGTGGACGTGGGGAAGTCTCCAAATATCCCATACGTGTATGTTCATCAAAATGGTAACGTCCAGAACTACAAGCCCCTCCAGGTGGTAACGGCCTGCAGCCTTGAAATCTACAACTTCCCCTTCGATGTTCAGAACTGCTCACTGACCTTCACCAGCTGGCTGCACACCAGTGAGTATGTGGGGCTTCCTGGGGCTTTGGGTGCAGGTTGGGGGGCCCAGGGACACCTGGTGGTGCCTTCTCTGTTACCCAATTATTGTTAGTTGCATATGGACAACAGAAAAATGCTGCCAGTTCCACACCATCTTCATGACTAAGTGTTGGTATGTTTGCATCCCTTGTTTAGACTTTTGTGTAGTGCCTTCCAGTCTAAGGGGTACATCTTTCAGCCTCATATTAAGCAATGCTCTCTTATGACCCACAGAGTTTTTAGTGGTTAACTTTCAGAAGTAGATTGGCAGGCTTTTCTTTCTTAGTAGTCTGTAAGTTCTGCATATGCCTGTTCACTGTGGTGGATCCTGCTGGCATTTGAAAGACTGGTGGCACACAACATGTAAGCCCCCACAGTACAACAGATAGGTGGTGGTTAGCCATCTGACTTCCACTTGTTTTCTTAATAGTGCTGAGCCTCCAAATGGAGCTGGTATTGCTGTCCTTGTGGCCTCTTCCACATTACAAGGATTAGATGAGACAGTGTGAGGGACAGTCTGTTTCCACTCGCACAAAGTCTGGCCTGTAGGTCTTGTCCAATGTTTTATTGTAATGGATATTCGAGTCCTTCCTGGTACAAATCCGTCCACTTCTCTTCCTCTTCACTGCTGTCCTCTTAATTCAAGCCACCCTCATCTCTTGTCCAGATTCTTGCAATAATCTCTTAGCAGATCTCCTGTATTCATTCTTGTCCTCCCTCACAGCAGCCAGAGAGAGCATATTAACATGCAAATTGGATCAGATCACTCTCTCTTAAACCCTGGATGGCCTCTCAGCACTCCTGGGACACAGTCCAAATCCATGACCTGGCCAGTTGGGCCTTGCAAAGCCTGGTCCTGCCTGCCACCCACCACTCCAGCCTCACTGCGCATGTTCCCCACAGCCCTACTCCAACCAAACTGCCAGCCTTCCCAGGCCCTCAAACCTCTGGCTCTTTCCTTTTCTAGCATACTGTTTCCTCTGCCGTATTATCTTACCCTTTCTTCTCTCTTACCCCTCAGCAACATCTAGTTTGCCCAACGCCTCTGTTTACCCTTCTAAACACAGGATAGGGAACAGTGACTCAGGGCAACCACTGCTCAGTTCCCAGACTAGGCCATTCCTGTTGACCAAGCACATAGCTCCCTGTTCTTCTTCCTGTATGTGCTCAATGTCTCCATCTCTACTGGATATCAACTTAGAGAGGGCCAAAATATCAGTTTCCGGCTCCCTATTGCTTACCTCGCACAGTGTCTGGCACAAAAGAGATGCTGGACAAATTCTGACTGAGAGAATGAATGGATGCTAGATGCTCACTGTTAGCCCAGTGATGCCAGCATTGCCCTACTGTGAAAGGTAGCCTCTATATTGATCCAGATTTCATTCTTAATTTAACTTTAAACCACAAAGGGAGTACATAATTTTCTGGAACAAAAGCTATTAATTACAGATAAGACTAAAGTCTCCTCTGACCTCTGGCCTCAATCCCCATCTCTTCAGTAACAACCGGCTATGCTAAGAATTAACCATTTCCATCATTATAAACTTCATATAGTAGTATGTTCTTCCAGATCCTTCTCTATGCATTTATATTCATATATTCATTTGTGTGTGCAAACACACACTTATACATACACACATAGCCAGTGAAATTACATGGACATTGTTTTATGGGTCTTTATTTTACATAAATGCATCATATCACATGGTTACAAGTCAGGCTGCTAATCTCAAGGTCAGCTAGTTCGAAACCACCAGCGGTTCTGGGGGAGAAAGATGAAGCTTTCTGCTCCTGTAAAGATTTACAGCCTCGGAAACTCTATACAGGGTCTTTAAGAGTCAGAACCGACTCCACTGCACACCAACATCACTTTTTACTTAACAAGAGATCTTGAACATGTTTGCAGGTTAGATCTTCCTTAAAATTTTTAACAAGCTATACACCATCTTAAATTTGTTAAGCATGTTCCTGATTGATAGACATTTAGGTCTAATGTTTTATTGTAATGGATACTCCTTTCTGGTACATACGTATATCTGTCTAAATGCCAAGAAGTAGAACTGCTATTCTGTAAGTGAGGATTTTGCTTATGTTTCCAATTCACCCTGAAAGCAAGGCACTTCTAACAACGCAAAGGTGAAGAATATTGACTTGCATTCATTTCCTAAATGGGTAATTCTAACAGGGCAAACTAGCAAGGCATTTGGGAAGGTATGTATGTGTGCATGTGTATGTGTGTGTGTGAAAGAGACAGACAGACACAGAGACACAGACAGTAACAGAAATAAAGATATAGAAGCAGAGAGAGAGAAAATACTTTCTAACCAAGGGGTTGTGTGGTCATTTATGTATTGTGCTGGATATTTTCATCTAAGACTTCCTTTGCGCTCACTACAACTCCATGAGACAGGTATGATGTGTAATAGTACCTCATTTACTAGCTGAGAAAACTGAGGCTGAAGACCTGAACTCAAATCACCTGACATCAGAGCCCTTGGTTTCTGCCCTCCCATACCCACTCCACTGGAATTCCACACACATCAGGGGCAGGCCAGCTCCTGGTACTAGATCCCCAAACTGATCTGCTTTCTTCTTTTCAGTCCAGGACATTAACATCTCTTTGTGGCGTAAGCCAGAAAAGGTGAAGTACGACAGAAGTGTCTTCATGAACCAGGGCGAGTGGGAGCTTCTCGGGGTGCTGACCCAGTTTCAGGAGTTCAGTATCGAAGGCAGCGAGTGTTATGCAGAAATGAAGTTCTATGTGAGTGGGACAGGGAACGATTGTAGGTAAAATGATGACTGAAACTATCCAGGGAGACTTAAAACCCAAACCAAACCCAACCCATTGCAGCCTAGTGGATTCTGAATTACAGAGACGAACTGCTTCATCGAGTTTTCAAGGCGGAAGGCAGCTGCCTTAACTTTCTCCCTAGGAACAGCAGTTGGTTCCTACAACCAACCTTTTGGTTAGCAGCTGACTGCTAGTCATGGCACCACCCGGACTCCCCCATTTCTTCTTTTCCCCAGCTTTGTATTTGCACACACTCCCCTTAGTTGTTCAACAAAGTGAATGGGAAATCTCGATCGAATTGTCCCTTATATAAACCACTCCAAACCTTCCAAAGTCAGATAATGAGGCGTGTCCATTTCCTTCTCTGAGCAACCCAGGCTGACAGCTTCAGGAAGCAGGGGCATCTAGGATGAGGGCTGGTTCTGGGGTGCAGAGCCTGTCTCTTCTCCCTACTGCAGGTGGTCATCCGCCGCAGGCCTCTATTCTATGCGGTCAGCCTTCTTCTGCCCAGCATCTTCCTCATGGTCATGGACATCGTGGGTTTCTACCTGCCTCCAGACAGCGGAGAAAGAGTCTCCTTCAAGATCACCCTTCTCTTGGGCTACTCAGTCTTCTTGATCATCGTTTCAGACACTCTGCCCGCCACTGCCATTGGTACACCGCTCATTGGTAAGACAGCTCCTGGGGGCGTGGCTCAGTGTGGCAGAGGAGACGCCCCTCCCACTTCCCCTGGCGTGTCTCTTCCTGCGTGCACAGGTGTGTATTTTGTTGTGTGCATGGCTCTGCTGGTGATAAGCTTGGCCGAAACCATCCTCATCGTGCGGCTGGTACACAAGCAAGATCTGCAGCAGCCGGTGCCGGCCTGGTTGCGGCACTTGGTTCTCGAGAGAATCGCTGCATTGGTATGCCTGGGGGAACAGTCGAATTCCCCAAGGCTCCCAGCAGCCTCCCAAGTCACCAAGATTGATGACTGCTCAGGTGAGAGAAGGCTGGGAGAGCCCACACAACTTAGATTCAGGAGTTGGTCAGGTCTTTGGAGGGGGTGGCAGGCAGGAGGGCCTGGACAGGGCCTAGGAATCCGTGTTGCCATGCATAAGATGTCCCCCCACACCCAGACTCCTTGGGAGGAGCTTATCTGGACTCTCTTTTCACCCTTTCATCTTCTCATCATCCCAGGAGCAGACGGAGACAGGGTAGAAGTCCCAGCAGCTGAGATCTCTGGGCCAAGAGTGGCCTCTCTCAGAGATGGGCCCACAAACCCTAAACCAAACTTGTTTCTGTCATGGCAGTTCTGACTCATGGCACCCCACCATGTGTACATTACAGAGTAGATTAAAACTCCACCGAGTTTTCTTGACTGTAATCTTTATGGAAACAGATCATCAAACTTTGTCCCTGTGGTACCACTGAATAGGCTCCAACTACCCATCTTTAGGTTAGCAGCCCATCACAAACCATGCGCATCATCCAGCGACCTTAAGTGACCTTCTTGCCTCACACATTTAAACATTGTAGCCAGAATTTCTAAAACTCTCATTCTACCTAGCTCAAAGACCAGGTTCCTTAGAATTTCCAATACGGGGGAGGCAGGGAGATATAGGTGCAGGGAGACACTGCCTCGGGGTCTCTGGCCTCCTGAGGCATTGTCACAGCTGCCATTTTTGGTTTGTTTATTGAGCATTTGAACCAGGTGTGCACAAAGAACTTTCTGTGCATTATCACATGCAAGTCTCATGGCCACCCAGTAGGAGTCTTCTGTTCCAAATGAGGAAAGAGAGGACGAGGGAGATTAAACAATTTGCATTAAAGTCATCACCACCACCGTTCACCACTTTTCTTTTTTAACTTATTTATTGTGAATTGGGTGAAGGTTTACAGACAAGGTTATCAGCTTTACATTCATCAAATTATACACTTTGTTTCATCTCAGTGATTACAATCCCCTTCCTGGAACAACAGTTATCCTGCTTCCTCCCTGCAACAAGTTATCCTGTTTCCTCCCATCTTATAGTTCACAAATGAGCAAGGCAAAAATATTGATGTATACTTACAAAAAAAAAAATATATATTCATTTAAATGTCCAAAGAGCACATTTTGCCAGCCAGCCTCCTGCCCGCAAGCACACAGCCTTTCTCTGTCCATGGGCCTAGAGCTCACAGCTGCTCTGTCTCTGCTATTGTCACCTTTCTAGGTAGGGATCTCACATTCCACTCATGCTGTTCCTTCTTAATGGTCCTGAGATGAAAGGTGAACTACTCCCCTCTTTTAGTTGAACATCTTCCACAATTACAGCTCATTCACCACTTCTCATCCTTCTTGGCCTTTTACACAAGACTCTTGGTTCCTCATCATGAGCTAGTCAGCAAAGTGAGCCAGTGTATAGCCTACATGCCTAATTTCACCATTCACCTGGTGCAGGGAGCCACACCTAAAGGTGAATTTTTTGGTCTAGAAGGACTTGGAAGTAATGGTAAGAGGGGCAGTAATTACTGGCCAGCTTCCTAGAGAACATGATGCAGTGGAGAGAGGAATAAATTGGGAGCTCAGATACCTGGACCCTAGTGGCCTCACTATTAAAGATGTCCCAGCTGTGTGACCATAGACTAGTTAATTAACCTCTCTGAGCTTCATATAAACAGTGGGGGCAGTAATCACTCCTACCATGTTTCTCTCATGGGGCTGTTGTGTAGCTCAAATGAAATAAAGAATATCACATTTCTGGGTAAAGTCTAGAGTTAAAAAAAAAAAAGGGCATGAAGAAAGATAAGCACCAAATTAAAAATATCAATGAACTGGGAAGGGACAGAGGATGTCACTAAGAAGGGATTACTGCTGTTGTTAAGTACTGTTGAGTCAGGTCTGACCCATAGTGACCCTGTATAGAGTTTTCAAGTTTTGAAACGTTAGCCTTGTAGTTAGTAGTCTAGAGCTTATCCTACAGAGCCACACTCAGACACCAAGAAGGGCTGTTCAGATATAAAATTGAAAAATTTACATTAGCTTTGTTTAAGTTGGATGTTGGCTGCCCAAGTATATAATGTTACTCTTTATGCTTTTTATGTCAGAATTTTGTCATAACAAAAAATTCTGTAGGACTATATGAACATAAGGAGCTCTGGTAGCATAGTGGTTACGAATCGGGCTACCAACCTCAAGGTCGGCAGTTCGAAACTACCAGCTGTTCCGCAGGAGAAAGATGAGGCTTTCTGCTCCCGTAAAGATTTGCAGCCTCGGAAACTCTGTGCAGGGTCTCTATGAGTGGGAACCAACTCCACGGTACTTAACAACAACAACAACATGGGTACATAGGAGTCATGGTTTAGCACTGTGGGATAAAGCACTGGACCGCAAGATTGATTTGAACCACAAGGTCGGTGGTTCAGACTCACCAGCCTCTCCTCAGAAACTGCACAGGGTGGCTGTGAGTGGTAACAACAACAACAACAGGAACATCGAAGGCATTGGTGGGTCAGTGGTAGATTGCTCCCCTTCCACGCAGAAACCCGAGTTTGATTTCCTCTCAGTGTACCTCTGGGGCAGCCACCACACATCTGTCCACGGAGGTGTACATGTTGTTATGATGCCGAGTAGGTTTCTGCAGAACTTCCAGACTAAGACAGACTAGAAGAAAGGCCTTGCAAACCATTTCCAAAAATCAGCCAGTGGACAGACCTATGGATCCCAACAGTCAAATGCTCAGTTCATCACAGGGAGGGCCAGCAGTGGGCAGCATTTTGTTCCATTGTGTTGGGTCACCATGATGGCAATGATGAGATGGAAACTTAAGGATAATGGTCAGCCCACCCCGCTGGGCCTTCTTCTCTTGCCATTTCTCTGTACTTGTTTCAGCCATGGGAAACCACTGTAATCATTTGGGAGGACCCCAGGACTTTGAGAAGAACTCGCGTGGCAGAGGCAGCCCTCCCCCTCCGCCACGGGAGGCCTCGTTCGCAGTGCGCGGAGTGCTGCGAGAGCTGTCTTCCATCCGCCACTTTCTGGAGAAGCGGGACGAGAGCCGGGAGGTAGCGCGGGACTGGCTGCGTGTGGGCTCCGTGTTGGACAGGCTGCTCTTCCGTGTCTACCTGCTGGCGGTGCTGGCCTACAGCATCACCCTGGTCACTCTCTGGTCCATCTGGAAGTATTCCTGAATGGGCACAGCCCAGCTGGCAGGTGGGTATGGGACTGGTTACTCTAGGGATGGGGGATTTCTGCTCAGGACCTTTAGGAAAATCCAGGGACTTTTTTTTTTTACAATTAATATTTTACTTTCATTGGAAGTGTACTCAGCAAACAGGGTTCCACTCAACAATTTTTACACATATTACTCAGTGACACAGATTACAATCTTTATATTTTATCAACATTTTCATTGTCTCTAAGTTTGTAAGGAACTTCTGTTCCTAGTCTCCCTTGAGCCGTCTCATCTATTTAGAGTATTTGATGACCATTTGGTTCAGGGACAGGCTAAAGACACATATATAGTCTTATGTTCTAAGCCAATGCCTGTTCATCTCAGTAATATAGATCCAGGGCCTGAACACTTCCTCCAAGAACTTGGTGGCCAAGACTCTTACATTGCTCCTTACAATGGCCCATTATGGCTTTAAAACAGGCCATCTGAGATCAGGAGAAACCCACACATTCCCTAACTTCATTCTATTTAGCTATCATGCCTCAGTTTCCCCACTGGCACTTCCCTAAATAAGGTGCTTTGGACTTCTGCGCATCTCTCACCCCTTTGTTTTTAGATGGAAGGCAAAGCCAACGCTCAACTACCGGGAGTCAATAACTGCGTTTGATTTATCCAGACCCCGAATGGCTCCTTCTTCACTTCACCTGTGGCCACATCCCCCAACATTCATGTCTCTGTTAGATGGTAGGGATGGGAGACATAATAAAATGTTATGAAGCCCTACACTTTCTTCCTGATCTTTTATCAGCTGCTTTGGGAAAAGGCTCGGTGGGCGAAAGAGGAGTTTCAAGTTATGGGTGGAGATAAAGTTTGAGAATTATCTGATTTCAAGTATTTGGTAATTCGTGCCCCAGGGAATCAGAGGTGACTAAATGGTGACTGTTCTGAAGAAGAAACCAGAAGGCGTGGGATTTCCGGTGTGAGAGTCAGGACCAGGAATGCTTAGCAGTGGGTGAGGAGGGGAAGCTCAGTTCTGTGATCCCCTGAAAAGATGTCCGCGCAGGGGGAGGGGGGGCATACAGTCTTTAATCCGTTGGGGCTCATGGTCTCTTGGTGAAGTTGGCTAACCAGCTCTCTCCCAACAAGCAACTACCTAACTTCTCCGCAGACGGATCCTGCAGTGGAGTCCTGGTATGGCGCTGTGGGTTAATGCTCTGGATTGCAAAGTCAGTTTGAACCGCAAGGTCAGCAGTTTAAGCTCACCAGCCACTCCTTGGAAACCCTGTGCAGGGTCTCTATGGGTTGGAACTGACTCAATGGTACTTAACAGCAGCAACAACAATGGAGACAAGAACATCAGCAGCATGGCCAGCAATAGTTGGCTTGGTGGTGGAAAAGACCAGGGCTTGAGTTTATTACTTAACTCCAGGTACACGTACCAGAAAACAGGGCCATGAGGGATGCAGAGTCCGCTTGGTCTTTAACCGTACTTCTCATGTCCAATTTCCTTTTCCATACATCATGCTGAGGAACACACCACCCCCTTCACGCCATCCACCTACAAGTCTGCAAAAGAAAGGGAAGCTAGAACCCACCAGTGCCACACTGCCCATCTCAGCATCTTCAATTATGACTTGGGCTCCCTTCTGGTTCCCTCTGTCTCATTCCACCTTTACTCTTCTCCTTGTCTTGGGCTGGTTGTAACTTGGAGGAAGGCGTGGTAGAGAGGGAATATGCCAACAAGCTAAAGGAAAAGGACCTAACAGTAAAACTGGGAATGACTTCGAACAGCACCACTGCCTTCTCAGTTAATTCAGGCTGGCTAATGATAAGGGATTCATTGTGGAAATTTTGAAGCTATACCTTTCCATGATCTCAAACTCTGCACTTTTGGCTGGTAGACCATCCAAAAGGCTGGAGAGAGAACCTTTGGCCTTTGGGAGTTTTAGCTCTGAAAAATCCTAGAGGATAGGGGAGGCGATTTGTCAGTTGTATCTCCTCTCAGCTGCTCACCCTAGCTTCCTCTCCATGTATCAAGAAAACATTACATACTAACCAACTAGTTGCTTATTCCTCAGGTGAACTGGGAATGTATTTTCACCTGCTTTCTCCAACCCAGACATAATGTGCTTTTTTTTTTTTTCCCAGACATACGTGCTTTTGACATGAGTAAGGAGCTCTGGATTGATTGTTGCTATGTTGATTTGGTAGGGATCAGCAAAGAGCAGGAAATTGTGGGGCTGGAGATTGGCCCTACCCATAAGTATTGCCTTCTTTTGTATTCTCACCTTTTTATTGTGTGCTGAGTGCAGGTTTACAGAGCAGCTCATCCATTTCACATCCACTTGGTTTCATCTCAGTGACTGCAGTTCCCTCACTGTTACATCACTTAGTCCACCTCCTCCTTGTGTTTCTTGTTTCCATTCCTCATTCTCTCCCATTTCTTCTGAATTTTGTCTGTAGATAAATGCTGTCCTTTTGATCTCAAATGGTTGACATTTCTATAGTGTGTGTACCTCAATAGTATTGTCATGCCCTCTATATACCTAGCTATTACTAAGCCATGGGGGTGAGTTTGGTTCCAGAACTGAAGAATGACCAAAGATCATAGTCTTGTGGTTCCACTAGTTTTTATCTGACCAATATGCATATTCCTTTTTTTGATTTTGAGTTTTGTTACACATTTTCTCCCGCTCTATTCAGGACCTTCTAATGTGATGCCTTTCAGAGCAGTTGGTAGTGGTAGCCAGGCTCCATCTGGTTCTTTTGGTCTCAGGGTCATGAAGACAGATGCTACATTGGACTAATTGTTTCCAAGCATCGTTAGTTTTCGCCTCTCTTATTTCTTCCTCATAGACAAGGACTTGTAGTTGCACCTTAGATTGATGCTCATGAGCTTTTAAGATCCCAGTAGCTGCTACTCACCAGTAGGATGTAACTGGCTGTCTTTGTGGACTATGTATGCCAACTGACCACGGTGTCCCCAAGACTATGATCCTGAGCCCCCAGACCCAGCAACTTATTCCCTCAAGGTGTTTGTTAATGTCTGAGAAGTTTTCACAACTTTTCTCCCTGCAGCAAAGGTAAGTTGTTTTGTGTTGTTGTGTGTCGTCAAGTTGGTTCTGAATCATCGCAACCCAGTTTGGAGTTTCTGAGAGTGACTAATGGGTTTAAGCTGCCAATCTCACAGTTAACAGTCCAGTGCTTATCCTATAGCACCACACCAAGGCCCAGAAACGGTAAATAAATACCCATGTGTGAATATCTTCTGTCAAACCTGTATGTATTAGTGGGTTTCTTCCCACTCTCTCCCCCAGACCTTTTCTTTCCTTTTTTAAAAAGTTTTTGTTGTGAATTGAGTGAACGTTTACAGGGCAGATCATCAGTTTTACATTAAACAATTCATATACTTTGTTTCATTACAATTATTATAATCCCCTCCATGTACCATCAGTTAACAGTATTTCTTTCTATTCATTTTAGCTCTTTTTTTTTTTTAAAGCATTTAGACATATATAATAATTTATACCACCAAAGGGCACATTCTGCAACTCTGCCTCCTGGCTGCCAGCTTTCAGTCCCTCTCTTCCCATGGATCAAGAGTCCTCAGCTGCTCCCTCTCTCCATGTCCCCATCTCTGCCTCCATCTCTGGTGTCACTGTTTCTCTGGATTAAGGTCCCGCATTCTGCTTGTGCTCTTCTCCCTTTATGGTCCTAGGGTCCTCTGTTTCTGGACTGTAAGATTAACTACTCCTCCGTTTTTATTACAAAACTTCTACCTTTACAATTGGGACAGTCACAATTAGTCATGATAACAATTGTTGTTGTTGTTATGTGCCATGAAGTTGGTTCTGACTCACAGCAACCCTGTACAGGGTTTCCGAGGCTGTAAATCTTTACAGGAGCAGAAAGCCTCATCTTTCTCCCACAGAACAGCTGGTAGTTTCAAACCTTGCAGTTTGCAGCCTGATTCGTAACCACTACACTACCAGATCTCCAGTATGATAACAATTACTCACTATTAAATCATAAGAATCTTATGTCTATCGCTTTTCACCAGACCCATCTAGACAAGATGAAAACTATTCAGTGCAGACTCTATCTTTCCCCCTACACTCTTAAACTAAACTCCCTCTTGAAACCTTGTAAGCCAGTCACTTTGTGCCTTTATCATCCCCTCATTTTAAGTAGCCAATGTCTAAGTTGCCCATCCCTATCTACCCTGTGTACAGAGGGGATAGCATTGATACTTGATGTGAAGACTCCTTCCCTCTCTGTTGTTATACATTTTGATGAGAAGAAATTGGGCTGAAGAAGAGGACTTATCTCAGCTGTTTCAGGATGGTCTCTACTTGCCCATACTTTGGAGTCTGGGCTCTACCAAGACCTGTTTGAGTTAGCTATGCTCTTAGGTGATTGTCAGTCTCAGCCCAAAGTCGGACAGTCTGGACCTGTCAGCGCACCACTGGTCAGTAAGTGGGTGGCTATTGACAAAGTGTCCAACCAGAGAGCTAGTAAGACACTAATCAACCTATTGATTCCCTATCTCCCCCTACACCCTTTGCCCACAATCAATGGTGCGACAGAGCCCAGCACTGAGGCAGCCAATTAACCACCTTGAGAACGAGCCGCTACATGTAACATCTTCTGCTCCACCAGCCACATCCAATCAGCTCATCGATCTAGCATCCAGCCTGTGCTGTTCCAGGATAGGAAACTGTTCCTTAGAACTGATCTTGGTCTTCTTCTAAGGAGACCTTTACAGTGTCTGGAGTCTGAGGACACCCAGAATGTCCTTCCCACCTCTTCTTACCATCTCAGCCCATTCCCTCTCATTCAATCCTAAGTAGAGAGAGAAAACTAGAAACCACCCTTGTCTCTGGAAGTGCTTCTGAGAGCTCATGGATTCGCCGTCTCGGGAGGATTACCCGATAAGCAAAGTAATCATGGGTTTACTTGTGCTTACTTGCTCATCTGTAGTGAAGCACAGATTATAAATGTGAAAAGAGGGTTTGATTCTGTAGGAAGCCACTGTGGAATTGGGAGAGAGTCAGATGCCAGCCAGACCAAGAAGCAGAATC